CAGCGCCGCCTGAAATACCGCAGGAGACAGCGGAGACCACGAGCGCGTCTGCTCAGCGAGACACAGCTCGGGCTGGCGAGTGCGAGGCGGCGGGCTGCGGCTTTGGAAGAGCAGTTCTGTAGTACTTTCCCACGCCCTACGGTGGTTTCCTCCCCGCTGGGCAGCGCGGGGAGAGACCTTCACGTGCCCAGGAAAGTCGGGAAACAAAACCCGAAGCACTGAGCTGGCGGTTAAGGACGTTGATCCTGCTCCTGCCGGGTCAGCTCTGAAGGTTTAAAATTACCTGAGTGATCAATTGCTATTAAAACGCATTGCTGGACTGAATCCTACTATAGAGACTTAAAGAGTACGGCAGCATAAACTCAGTATTGCGGCATGTTTAAATTTGAAAGCCCGAAAACATATTCTGAATTCATGTTTGCATTTCAAGGGTGTTTGCTTTTTCCACTTGACATATTCCCCATGTTAGTAACAAAGAGATAAGAAGCATGGTGCTGATTCCCCGGGCTGCATGTTACGAACTGAAAGAAGAGGGCACTGGAACAGAGGAGAGGGTAGAATGAGAAAGTAGAAAGAGGCTACATGGCTTCATTTCCAAAATCTTTCTGATTCCTTGCCCAACTGAGCAGAGAGGGATCCTACAAATTTCTGCAGCACTTTGACATGAATGTAAAGGATATTCACAGCATCTTTTGTGCTAGTTAGTCCAGGAAGACAGTTCCAAGAACTCTTAACTTAGACATTTGAAAGACTAACGCAGCTGTTTCTGGGAATAGAAACAGCTGTCCCACAGTGACTTGCACTGAGATGGTGATTTCTGTTTACATTTAAGGTGTAAGTATGGGCAAATTTACCTTTTTCCAGAGCAATGTAAACAATTAAACCTGAATAAATAAATAAATAAAAGAATGTGATATTCCTGCACAGTTTACTTATTAATGAAGTGCAAAATTGAAGTGAAATATGTCAGGCTATCACCACAGAATTCAGGAGGGACAGCAATAGCTTTCAGCAATTTGTGTAAGTGTAATATCACAAACCAGCCAGGCATACTGCTTCACTTCAGGGTTAAGGTTTCCTCATCAAGTGAATCATTGGCTAGTAAAACAGAAAACAGCTGCTTAACAGATAATGGGCAATGCTCCAGGTTGTTTTAATCACTATTTTGGTCAGTCATACATTCAGAATTGCATTTTAAAATTCTTTCTGGAAGGCAGTTTAGCAGGAGAAGAGCCAATAATTAAACAAAGTAGCACAACTCCTGTTTCGCAGTACTCAATGAAATGGTTGGACATTAATTATCTTGAACTTTTGAACATTTCCTTACCTTGCAATGCAGCCTTCATGAGTTTAAAATAAAATAGCAACTTTAGAGCTTTAATTGTATGTCCGTTGATCCTGCTCTGCTGTCGCCTCAATAAAGAAGTTAATTTCTGATAAGGATCAAAATTTAACTGCCTCTTTCTTCATGGCTCGATTAGCAACCAAAGATCCCATATGAACTGATTTGCCATTTTCATGGTAATGGAACATGTAAGGACAAGAAGGAGACAGAACGCTGAAAAACAACAGCCAAACAAGAAGGAATAAAAGTATTATGTCTGATCATTTTTAGCATTAGGGCAACAATTGTTGCACTAATCAATAAAATAAACACTTTTCACCACCAGTTGCCATAACACATTCTGTTTTACATTACCAAGCTCACTAGAGGGATTGTCTAGCACACATACTAAAATTTAGAAATGCCTTTCCATTTTCACTGCACTTTTCTCTTCTATCTTGTTAAACAAACCATTAACACTTGTCGGCATTATTTGCCCTATGATCACAGAGCAGCAAGATTACAAGCAAGAAGTTGTGGCGGCTCCTTCTCCGGAGATATTCAAAACCCACCTGGATGTGATCCTGTGCAACCTATTCTAGGTGAATCTGATTTAGCAGGGTGGTTTGCCTAGATGGTCCCCAGAGGTCCTTTCCGTTCCCAGCCATTTTGTTATTCCATAATTACACTACAGAGACCCGTAGAGGTCATCAGTCCTGCTCCCCCAGGCACATGCAGCAGATGGGATCATAGGTTCAAGCTGTTGAGCACCAGAAGGTAAAGATTACTGGGACAATGTGATAGCATTAAGGATTTGGAATTGTCTTTACTATTCTGCTAGGGAAAAATAACTCTACCCTCCTTTGTAAGATGAGAAACATGAGCTTTCACTGTAATTCTCCATGCACTCTTGTGTCTGGCTCCCTGACATGCTGGAGAAAGCTCTGCTGCATTTGTAGGTCACTAAGACTGCAGACTCAGCCCTTCAGGCTCCCCCTCATAGGGAAGGGATGGTTACAGTTCCCTCTTCCCGCCAGTAACATGGTTAACCATGTCTAAATTTCACCTATGCACAACTTCTGCAACAATGGCCAACACACTTGATAATTTTATAGTCTACCTGACCTGAAATCTGCTCCATTCCTACTGTCAAGCTAACTGTATCTCTACCCTCAGTAACTCTGTATTTCAATTATAAGAAATACAGAGTTTGTATTTATTGCCATGTACCGTGTGGAAAATTAGAATTATTAAACTTCCATTTGAACAAAAAAAATCTGTCACATTAACTGTATGCTCACTATTCATAATGACAAAGAGCACAATATGGCAATAATCAGAGGTGCATTAGACTTCTGCTTTTACTACTCATGCATGAAAGCTGTGCATGTGTCGAAGCCACTCAACAGCCCAGCACTATAAATAGTGGTCTATTGTTAGTGGATAAAAGATGAAACAAGTCTCCCAGCGCTGGAGCACAGCACGCCGTATTAAATGTTAAGCCCTGCCTGTGCTAAAAGTGAAAGGCAGCATCAACTGATAGACTAGTCTGCGAGTAAGACACACGGCTGGGAAGAGTTCACTCTGACTCTGCAGCTTCCCGAAACAGCAGGAGTAGTAGCTGATCCTTCTGTCTCAGCAATGGCAGAAGCTGTTATAAGACACTGGGTGGAAACTCCTGTGCGCTACCAAGAGCAGTTTGCTGACCAAGAGATGGAAGCACACAAACTGAACCACCTTTTGTATGCTTTGCCAGGCCCAGCAACAGCAACACTGGGCAATCAAAGATGCACCACAGAAAGTGCGGCTGGGGCTGCGAAGAGTGGCCAGGAGGAAGAAAATACACACTTTCAGATCTTGCTGGACGTTGTGCAGTTCCGCCCTGAAGATATCATTATTCAGACGTTTGAAGGTTGGCTCCTGATTAAAGCTCAGCATGGACCCAGGATGGATGAACATGGTTTCATATCTAGAAGCTTTACCAGACAATACAAATTACCTGATGGAGTGGAGAACAAAGACTTGTCTGCACTTTTCTGCCATGATGGCATTTTGGTTGTTGAAATGAAGAACTCAGTGGGAAAGAAATAGAACCTTGTCTGTAGTTATTGGTGAGATAAAACCATTCTTAATATAACAAAGCGGTATCATTCATGCAACATTGTAGAGTGTGGTAAGCATGTGGCTGTATTTGTGTTACAGGAAAGGAAAATATTTGTAGATATTTTCCAGTATGCCGAGTTTATTGTTTGATGTGAAATGTTTGACTGCTTGCCTGCAGCTACATATACGTTGGAAAGCCAGGCTGTTTGAACAGTAGCAAACTTAGACTAGTCTCAGCAGGAGAAGAGAAGAATCTATTTGATAACAAATGGAAAATAAAACACATTTTCAAATTACCTAAGAGGAATTGCATTTCTAAGGAATAAGCATTTGTCATACATATTCATAAACATTTAAGAAGAAATAGACAAGCTGTGAGATAGCTGTGAGTTGTGAGCGACAGATAAATTGTGGAAATTTAATTTATGTACCAGAAAATCTGTTTTCTAATTTTTGAGATTAAATTCTTCTCTCCAGAAAAGCGCACAAACTGAAAGATACTATCAAGAAAAAAATTCCCTAATTCCACAGTTCAAGCTTGTATGCCAAAAAACCCCCTTGAGATATTACATTTTAGTAGTGCTTTGCAAGTTTGAAATATAATAAAAAAGAATAATCACTAACTATATTTGCTTGAAAAGTAAGTAGAAATTAAGCTTTCTGTGAAAGACAAATTAATTTGAAAGAAATATTTCAAGGCATTTTAGCAAATTGGTTTTTATTTGGCATATTCTGCTATGTTATCAACTGAAGAAAAATATTTTCCTTACAAATGCTCAAAAGGATTAAATTTTTCCTTGGAAACCCTGCTAATAAAAAGACATTACTCTTGCACAAATGCTTTTATTTTTTATGCATTTTAGGTAGTCTTGTTGTCCATTCAGATTAGTGTTTTATTCTTCATGTTGCCTGATGGTTTAGGCTGAGATTCCACAACTCTGTCTTCAAGAGCAAATTTTTCTGCCTATGTATAGTCTCACTTTCCTCACAAGAACATGGGCCCTACATGAATCTGTTTTTAAGTTCCTTACGACAGACCCAGGTTTAACTCCTCCTGTTCCAGTGTCTCACATTTCATGAAAGTGGCAGAGATTAGAAAATATGTATATCTAGTATCTGGTCTTCTTAACATTGAAGAGAAATAATGCTGTGAGTTTGTAAATACACATACGTTTGAGTATTTAGGGGGAACTGCAGCTGCAAGTTGAACTGCTTCTTTTTATGTGTACTGGAGACGACTATGACTGCTGTACTATGAATAGTAAAGGAATGTGGAATGGAAAGTGCCAAGTTAAATACAGACTCTTTATCACAGCCATCTGCTGTTTGGACAAATCAAAATCATATTCAAATGAAACTGAATACAAATACAATTTAAAGAATACGAGAAAAATCTGATGAACAAAATCCAGACTCTCACCAGCTGAAGCCAGAGAGTTCCTTTAGTTCAAAATGAAAATCCTAAGCTTGTATGTCTGTACATGTGCGTTTATTAGACAGACTTATGTCACGGTTGTTTAGACCTGAACATATGTGAAACAACTGATTTCAGAAAAGTGGGTGGTACAGTTTTTATACTTTTTTATTATTTGTGCTAAAACTCACAAGAAACTTGTACAAGAAATGCAGAATAATTTCTAAATTGTGTATTTCCATCATGTGCAATTATTTCAATTCTTAATAGAGCAGAAGTCAGAATCCTAATGTTGTCTAACAAACTGAACCAAATATAAAACATGTGCCTGCATTTCCACTCAACCCACACTCTTCCCTTGTCTTGCCTGTATTTATTTTGTGTATTTGTTTAAGACAATAAACAATCATGCTAGCAGGTCACATCTAGATTTTGAACACTTCTAGGTCAAGAAGATTCATCAGCCAGGAATCTGGTAGAAGATGTAACAAGGATTTAAGAAACTGAATTCTAGATACAGGTCTGGATTTAAAATTTACATGCCAGCTTTATAAAAGCTTCACAAGTTTAGTCCTACGGTTTCCATAACACCTTATGGCACAACTGTCGGGATAGAGTTCAGGAACAGCAATTAGCAATCTGCTTTGGTGATTTTTGTTTACAGAGGATTTTGTAATTCTTAGCACTTAAAATTACAGGTTATTATAAAAACTGTTCTAGCCATGATTGCAGTGATGATATTCATAGCCCTAGAGATGAGAAAGCAATTCTAAAAAAAACATAACTGATTTAATTATTTCAAATTAGATCATGATTAAACTACTGGAAACTTGGCAAGGAATTAGACCATACAGCCAAAATCGTATCATCTGTTCTATATATGTTAAAGACGTGGTTACCCCCAGGCCTGCTTATGTACACAGGCCTGCCTCACAAAACTGGATGGAGAATGTGATGTCTGGCTTCTCTGCATTGCAGGCCTCCTCACATCACTCTGTGCCCAAGTCTGTACTTGCTCACAGCATTCAGACTTCCTCACACAGTCAGAAATCACTGGAACATCCTCACCAAAACATGACAAGAGTGTACACAGCCAAATTTTACCTTCTCTTGTAGCCAGAGCTTTACAAAAGCCTACATCCATGCTCCCCGGTGAATGGGAACTTCCCCAGGTCCGGCACCTGAGTGGTCATGTAACAGGGACTACACTGGAATATGGACCTGCCACTGACTTCCTGCATTTTAGCAGCAGGAACAGCACAGAGGAAAGTGCTTCTCTCCTTTTCTAAGTGGCAGGTTATCCTAACTTCCTGGATGAATGATTTTTCTGCATTTACCAGAACAATCTTGAAGTACTTGGCAGAGTGTTTCTGAATTGTCTGGAAAGAGCCATTTTCACATATTTTATGTGATGTTTTACTTTCATAATCTGATTAGAATTGAATGTGAATGTCACAGAGAAAGCTACTAATATTGCTCATGGGCAGCAGAATGAGATATTTATCAACAGCAAAGGATTTCAGAACAGCCACAGTTAAGACAGGTTTAAGACATGCTGATGTGGTTAAATTAGGAACCATGAAATTGGCTGGCTACAAATTTCTGGCCCAGAATAAGCAATAAGCCTCTGCAAGACTTGCACAGCAAGTGTTACAGAGCCTTCTCAGTTCCCATCAGTAAAGGATTACCTTTGCAATTGGTCAGCCTTCTCCTCCAAATGGATAAAGATGATTTCATGCATGAATCTAAGCATTGTGATAAATGCTTTCATGGAAGAAGAAAATGTATCAATATCACACTTATCTCCAAAAGCAACATAAACCCCCCATAATTTCCGTAAGATCCTTGTGGGCAGAAAGTCCACAAATGCCTTGGACTTCATGCCTTTTTATAGTTTCTGCTGCACCCAGGGCATCTGAGATCTCTCTACACAATCCAATACTGCTGGCTCAGTGAACCAAGGCTGACATGACACTTACCAGTCACTCAATACTGCTCAACGACAGTCTTGGGCATTGGAAAAAAGTAAAGGAAACCTCTGGGGTATCACGGTGGCAACATTCCCTCCAGGAGGGGTAGGTCTCCTGTTCCTTACTTACTTCATAGCCCAGAATCAAAATGAGCTTTTTCACCTGAGTAACAGTACAAAATTGGCTTCTAATAGGAGTAGCAATATCTCCGAAAATATTAGGTGTATCTTCTCTTATTCAAAAGAGATGCAGACCTCTGTCTTGCTGACTACCGGAGACAGTGGCTGTACCCTCTCATTTACAGTACAGCATCTCAATGGCCCTACACTGTGAATGCAGGGGTTAAGCCTGCTGCCTTAAACCTGTATTCTGCATTGGAGATACCTGAGCTTCCCCCATTTGTGCTAACTCTGGAGCCAGAAGTACCGTCCCTGTGCATCAGCTCAGGTCCGGAAAGTCCGAACTGTCTACTGCTGTACTCAGGCTGAAAAATCATCCCTTATTGAAAACACTTGGACAGAGAGACGAGAAACACAGCACTACAGCTCAGGACTCCCTGTGCAGGTTAGTGCTAGAGTGGAGGTCTCTGCTGGCTGTGCCATGGTGGACTTCAGCTTCACCACAAATCCCATCAATCTCCTTAAAAGTAGGACTCCTTAGACACATGGTAATATTGCTGATGCCAGTCTTTTCAGGGGGAAGTATGTCTAGCAGCCACTTGCAGAAGTAGAAGTGATGAAAAGAGAGAACTGTTTACAGTTCCTCTCATGCTCCTTGGTGTGCTGCTGTGGTTTGGTCTGACCCTGACTCCACTGAACCCCTGTTGTCTGCTGACAAAGCATGCTGATGCCCTGAGAGCTGACATAGAGGCAGGTCTGTGCATGAATAGGGGACAGAAACTGTAGGACCAGGGTGGGCCACGGCATGTAGCCAGCAAAGAATCCCACCAGAGATGTCTCGGGCAAGGATGGGGAGCAGGAAAAATACTCCAATTGGTTCAGATTCTATACATACATATATATATATAGTCATGGTTTAAGCCCAGCTGGCAGTTAAGCCCCATCGAGCCGCTCACTCTCTCCCCATCAGTGGGATGGGTGAGAGAATCAGTGGAGTAAAAGCAGGCAAATTTCTGGGTTCAGATAAAGATAGTTTAATAGGAAAAGCAAAAGCTGCTTGCACAAGCAAAGCAAAACAAGGAATTAATTCACCACTTCCCGTGGGCAGGCTGGTGTTCAGTCATCTCTAGAACAGGGATCTATCACACATAATGGTGACTTGGGAAGACAAATGTCATCACTCTGAACATCCCCCACTTCCTCCTTCTTCCCCAGTTTTATCTGCTGAGCCATGGGATGGAATATCCCTGTGGTCAGCTGGAGTCAGCTGTCCCAGCTGTGTCTCCTCCGAACTTCTTGTGCCCTGCAGCCTCCTTGCTGGTGTGATGGGGTGAGGAACAGTGTCCTGGTGTCATGATGAATGTGACAATATGCACCACAAATACAGTCTCTGCCTTAATGTATATGCAGTCTCAGGGGTTGAAACTGATAGGACCTCAATGCAGATTGGAAGACCCTGAGGTAAACACATGAAGAAACATAAAC